GAGAGAGACTTGTTATTGTTAAAGTCTCATAATTCCAGTATGCCCAATAAATTAACCCAGAGAGCATAGGCTTAGTGTCACACCTTACAATAAGAGGGGAAATTGTTAATACCAGAAGCATGGAAGCTTGAGTGTGCTTTGGATGGAGCCCTACCCGAGGAGTTAACAGGTGGAAAGAATTAATGGGTGATTATGTAAATACCAATGTTGGAGTTCCCAAGCCAGGTGGCCAGTGAAGATGGGAAAATTCTACTCCACATTATTTAAGTCGTCTAACAACGACCTCCGCCCGGCCGCAGTGTGGAAAATATTTTAATCTTCAGAAGCTATAGTGCCTAATAGGTGTTTAATGTGTCGACATGGGTCAAAAATGTATTTGAAAATGGAATAGAACCAACAGGGAAGCTCTGCGCCTTCACTGATGGGCAGGGAGAGGTCGAGACGGGGCATCAGGAGGGGGAGTGTTTGGAATGGAGTTAAGAGGCTGGGAAAACATGGGACCAGGAAATTGGCGTTCACGGCAGCCTAATGATTAATATAGGCCTCACTTCATAATAGGAAGTGTCGTAACTGTTCCTGGTGAAGAGTGAGGGAACATAATTTACAGGACCACCGTAATAAAGTGGCAAAATCAGTGAATAATGGTAGGACCAGTGGTGACTGGTGCATCGCCATGGGGTGTGTCCCGGGGAAATATACCTGTGATTTAATCATCTCTCATCGGTCTCAGATCTTAATGGAGTGACCTCCAATGTGTATAATAATTATGAGACATTAAACCGTATGGGGGGCTAAGAATAATCAGTGATAATAACACCAAGTTAAGAGAATGTGTGAAGTGAAATGAGTCGCCGTTCTCAGAGTGAGCATCTGTTTACCTTGTGGTTCCTGTCCCGAGGATAGTGAAGTTTTTATGGAGTCACAACTTCTAAACCGGGACAAACCAACGGATACCTCATCCTGCTGGAATAAGAACCGTGTTGGTGTAGCAGGACATTGAAATGAGATGGTGAATGGATGAAATAAGGAGCATCAATCACCCACAGTTAAGTAACCCTTCTAGTTATAGCAGACTGATACTGGCCAGTTAGGTATGTTGTAATTGGATAGGTTGTGGGTGATCCAGCTACATCAAGTGACCACCAGAGAATATCTGGTAAGTGGTGGGATTATATACAAGCGTTTTTCCTTGATGGATATATCCATGTGTAACCTACCTACCCTCCCCCTCGCCTTCATTCAGTTAAACTAATATAATCTATACAGTCCACAATTAATTAGTAGCTCCGTACTTGTGGGTGCTATCCAATTTATACTGGTCTCGGATAGATATGGATAAGATTGTGAGGTCGAAGGGACCACCTGCAGTGACCAAGGGTGGTTAAGTTTTCTCACATGTCTACACGGGGTGACTACGGTAAACAATATGGTTGTTGTCTCCCAATGAGATTACTCGTATGCATGTAATGTTGAGGTACATACAGGTAACCCCCTATAAAAATTTCCATAGGGTGTGTGCCTCATGGTCCCTTTTAGATGATATGCAGTGCAATTGGTATTGTAACATTGTTTTTCAAGGACTGAAGACTGACACATCTCAGGGTGGAAGTATTTGCATGAGGTAGAATGACACACTCCCTTAGACAGGAGATCACGGCATTTTTTGGGATGCTCAAAGTTGCATGCCCCATTCGTTTTCCCTGATATTCTATGTTTACAGATGCCCCAAACATAGTATTTGCACCATTTTGTGTTTGGCTCAGTACAATTCGTGCTGGATGTATTCTTAATCTGTGCTGGCCCTAGAGCTGCACTACAGTCCTCCATAGCCAATCCAGAGACACCACCATCTGTTGTCATGGCTCCAACATTTTTCCTGGGAGGGGACTCCCAGACTACATCTGGACTAAAGGCTATGACTGTGATGGCTGCAGAATAGTCTACCCCAGAGGAGGGCTCCTCTACTACATCTGTACTAGGGGCTATGGCATTGGTGGCTGTGGAGGAGTCTTTAACTGAATCTGGATTTTCACAATGGCTGGGGGCTGGGTCTGGGTCAGCCCTGAGGGATGGGAAAGGAACTAGCTGTTGTTTTTGTTTCCTGTGTTGTTTCCAGTGTGTATCTGCTTATTTTTGGGTCAGTTGTTGTAGAGTGGGCATTCTCTGTGTTAGACTTTACTCGTCTCCTATCTTCCCATGCTTCTATATATTCCAAGTAGACTATTCAATAGTTCCTTCTTTTTTTGTGTTTATTGTTTATTAACCTCCTGAGTGCCTTCCTGATATCTGTCCATAGTTCCACATCCCTGTTGCAGATCCAGAAACACCTATCTAGATAGATGTCATTTTTGGTTGCAGTGTTTATTCTTGCACAGGTAACATGATGTTTTGAAAAGCAAAGGTTGCATGTGATTCTAGATTTTTTCCCAAAAGCCTTTTCACATGTCCCACAGGTATACTGTACTGCCATCCTGCCTGTATCCTATTTGCAACTGGGTACCACAAGAACCTGATCTTCACTTTACCTTTCAGCTCTGCATGCAGGTGTGGGTGTTATAGGTCAATACATGGGTATGTGGGATGTAATTAGTAAGGAGACTTATTACCATTAAAAACTTTTATGTTGTATAACTTCATATATCATACATCCTACAGCATCTGATTCCTGTCATGAACACTGATATTCATCTTATCCTGGGCTTCACTTTACCTTTCAGCTCTGCACTCAGGTGTGGTGTTATGTGGTCAATGGATGGATATGTGGGATGTAATTAGTATGGAGACTTATTACACATTAAAAACTTTTATGATGTATGACATCATATATCATACATCCCACAGCCTCTTATTTCTGTCATGATCACTGCTGTTTATCTTGTCCTGGGCAGTTATATGTAGTGGTGGTGGCTGGGTTTTGGTGATGAAAGGTAGTTCGGTGGTCAGGGGTATGAGTGCCAGGAGGGGGTGAGGACCATCCCCGCTGGTTGGGGTGTTGGAGGGGGAGGGTGGCGAGAGGATTTGGTGGTGGTTTATCCTTTTCCACTATCCAGACACTGCATGTTCACTGTTTCCCTGAACATCAATCCACTATCTGTAACTAAATAGACTTAATTACCCTCCCTGTCATTAGAGAATGATTTACAAGAAGTTTATAAGCTGGTACTATGTTATTCATTTTCTATACTGAGTTTGATAGTGACAGTGACAGGACAGTGACACTGACTGACAGCGACAGGTCAGTGACACTGACTAACAGCGACAGGTCAGTGACACTGACTGACAGTGACTAACAGTAAGTCTGAACATCAAACATAACTCTCCAATCAAAAGAAAAAAAAAAGGGTGTTCAGTTATTTTATTACATTCACTTGAAAAAAGTTGAGCACCTCAAGGTTAGACAGCACCTGGTAAATGGGAGGTAATTGGGTTGGATCCGAGGAACAGGGTAGTTCAGAAATCCTGGGATAAAGAGCCCTTCACCAGTATCCTCCTTGAAGGGAGGTTATTACTATTATCCTCTGGATTAACTACTACTGGAGGGTTATTTCCTAGGTTAACTACTGGATTATAATTACCTGGGTTAACAATCAACTGAGTATTATCTCCAGTGTTAACCACTGGAATTTTATCCCCAGTATTAACCACTGAAGTATTACTGCCAAGGTTAACCACTGGAATATTCCCAAGGTTAACCACTGGAATATAAATAACAAAAAAGGCACAATACCGTGACTGGAACGATACACAAATAACCCACACATAAAAGAGAGAAGCTTACGACGACGTTTCATCTTGATGTCATCTTGTCGGTATTATATACCATTCTTGTACTACTACTACTACTACCACCACCTCTTCCTGCCTATATATAGCCGTCCTACTCCACTTCTGGTTAGTGTGACTTTGTCAATGGTCCAAGTCGGACCGAAACGTCGTCGTAAGCTTCTCTCTTTTATGTGCGGGTTATTTGTGCACTGGAATATTATCCCCAGTGTTAACCACTGAAGTATTATCCCCAGTGTTAACCACTGGAGTATTTTCCCCAGTGTTAACCACTGGATTATTATCACTGAGGTATGTACATATTATCCCCTTGGTTAACTACCACTAGAATTTGATCTCCTCTGTATAGTGCTGATACAGTCAGTTTTAGTAAAACACTTGTGTTCTTTAACCACTAATCAGCTCGCACACTGAGGGGTCTGGGATCGATCCCTGGCACAGGTGAAATGTTGGGCATGTTTCTTTACATGTGCTGCCCTTGTTCACCTACCAGCTAGCAGGTACCTGGGCATTAGCTAACTGTTGTGGGTCACATCCTGGGGGACAAGATTAACCTAAGTTGCCCAAAATGTTCTGCATAACCAGGGGCTTTCTATATACAGTATGACTCACGAAATCATAATGACACAATTGCAAACAAACCATACCACGGGAGGGGATAGAACCCACAATCAGAGGGTCTGAAAACTCCAGTGGCTAATGCGACAGTCTGGAGTTTTGAGACTCTCAGATCACAGGTTCTATCCCTGCCCGTGGTATGGTTTATATACAGTATATTAGTGATGTTAGCTAGATCTGTAATAGTTATATCATGTATGTGTAGAAGTAATGATAAATCATCATCATCATCATCATAATGATGCTAAGATAAAGCTTCATTAATCAAAATTTATCATGTATCCTCTGTAGAGAAGTGTGGCATTTATGGACTGCACTCATTTAGATCTATTTGATGACCCTTAAACTACGATATTTCATGAATGTCATTGTTTTTATTAATATACAAGAAGAAATGACAGGCTTTACACACAGATAAAGTACATATTGTCTTGATTTATAAAATAGGTATAGGCACAGTTCTTGTTTGATTTGAGTACTGTAAGTTGTACACAGTATTTAGAAATGTTTTAGATTTAAAAACTGGACTAGAGATAAAACTAATTCTCTTGCATTTAATTTAAATTCATAGTCAAGGGTAACAAAACCTATTTCAACAGATTGGTGGACAGATTAGTCTCCCTGACGTTATTGAGGAAGCCAACAATAAGAACTCCACATCTCAGAAGACTTCCAATGTCCCTGCAGCCTCTGCCTCATCAAGCAAAGCAAACACTCACACAGGTCACTGTCCCTTAACTTATAAATTCTTTATCAGTTACTTATGCTCTATTAAAAGATCACTGTTGATTATGATTAAATTGTCTATAGCATGAGACTGTCTAGTAACAATCAGGATATATGGCCTTGTTTTAAAACTCTTTTCATTCTAATGCAATTTTATTTATTAAATCCTACATTTTACTTCTAGATATTGTGGAGGAACTGAGCAGTACCAGCATTGATAGCCAAACTATTGTTGAACATGATTCTGATAAAAAAGAAAAGGACAAGGAAGACAAACGTGATGAGCCCTTGTTTCAGCGTCTGTTTGGCAGCAAACGTTCAGGTCGACGACAATCTCGAGGAAGTGGTGATGACAGCCGGGAAAACAGTGTCAGCCCTATGAGGCATGGTGGAGACCAAAGAGCATCTCGAGAGAAGAGACGAGATTCTTCTGGCTCTCGGTTCCCAGTTATAGGAGTACCTGCCTCAAAAATACGGCAAGATTCTCACCCTCTACCTCCATCTGGACGGCCTCGAGAGCCTAGCAAAGAAAGACTTGCAAAAGAGGTTTCATCATCTCAGACATTATTCTCAGCAAGTGTAGAAGGGTCATTAGAGAGTACTCTAATTGGTCATCAGCCAAATTTCCATATCTCACCATATGATGAACGTCCTATAAGACTTAGTGAAGGTGTTAGGAAAGTGAAAAGTTTTAGAGAAGTGCCAGAACAAAATGTAACTCGAGAAGTTTTTCGCCGCAAAGTCTCATCTCAAACAAATGTTGAGGACCAGAATAGTGTACCAACTAAGATATCACGTATTTCAGCTTCGCTTGAAAGTCTAGATTCTGAAGAAGTTACAAGAAAATCATCTGCCTTGCATGCTATTTCATATAAAACTATACAAAATGAAACTTTATCCTCATCACAACGCTCCTCAACTGATTCTCTCACAACCACACCACTTCCAGGAGTGTTCATTCGCCAACATTCACAGAATCATAACAAAACATTGTTGCAGAAACATCAGGATCACCTTCAACAGCTTCATAATCAGCAATTATTTGGACAAGAGGTGAGCTCTGGACCATTTTCTTTAGATTCAAGTATAAGTTCACAGTCTCGGGAATCAGAAGACATGTTGCGGAAAGTAGCAAGTGTGGACCATATGATTTGTAGCGTAGAAATACAACATCTAGCCAAGGAAAGTGAAACTAAAGAAAGCATTGTTACAAAGCCAGCTGAAGTGAAAGCTATAACAGAATCAGCAGTGGATGTTATTGAAGGAAAAACAGAATCTGGGAAATTGGAGGGCAAGACATCCCCTAATCAGATTTTACATTCCCACTCCATACACAAAGATGAAGAAACTGTAATTCAAGTTGTAAATCCAGTAGAAAGTGAGGTGGAGGGGGAATATGTGCCTCGTCGTCCACTGAGGAAAGAACCAAGCATGAAACGTCTTCTACCAAGAGATCCAGAGCCAACACCTGTTCCAGAATTTATGCGAATACAACTTAATCGAGTAGAGAGCAAAGGCCAATCAGTTATTTATGATACTGAGCAAGAGAGAAATACTAAAAATGATAAGAAAGATGTAGAAATATTAAGCAAAAAGCCTGAAGCTGTAGCAGTAGCAGAATCCATTCAAAGAGAAGCTCAAATATCTGAGTGCCCCATAGAGACCTCAGTTATTCTCAAGAAAGAAGTCAGCAACATTCCTAGTTCAAAAGATAATAAACTCCAAACATCAGCCTCTTTTCAAAAAAGTACCATTCAGGGAAGCCGAGGATTATTTAGGGATACTTCCCCATCTGGAAACAATACAGAAAGTGGAGATGGTGACTCTGGTACAGAAGGCACTTTATCAGATACTTCTGTAGAGCATGTTATTTTAAGAAAACCTCTTGTGTCAGAGCGAGCTCCAATAATAGAACGTGCTTCTTCTGTCACAAACCAAATGCCATTATTGCCATCTTCCAGAGAACAGCCAGAGTTGTTCAAGGTATTTGCTAGACGATCCTTTAAGGTTAAAGACTCTGATAAAGGCAAACCTGAATCCAGTGACAATTACAATGATGAAACTGATGTTGAAGCATCAAGTGAAGTGTCAGAGGTAACTATCTCTCCTGTTAGAACTCATAGCAGTCCCTCATCAGTATCTATTGGTATTGGAAGTTCATTAACATCAGTTTCTACTGCACAGTCTTTAACAGAGGGATTACAGAAACCAAGTATACATACTATTTCCTTTAATCGCAGATCTGTGGGCAATCCAACCCTCTCATTTTGCCCACCTCCGGCATCAACCCCAGATGCACCTGTAGGATCACCTTTGTCTTCAAAACCAATGGTACTTGTTTTGTCAAGTAATAATATTACAGTCACAAGCAGTTCAGAAATTACAATTACAAGTAGTTCTCGAAATATAACCGCAGTCACGTCCACAACTAACATTATAACAACTTGTAGCTCTCAAAGTATACCATCTACCATGCCCATTCTGGTCACAGCTGCACGTCCATTACAGACAACAACTGTAGTTCCTGCTGCATCAGAAAGTTCCATCACAGTATCTACCACTCCACCTACAGGTATTATTAGCAAAATTATCAGCAATAGAGTCAGCAGTGTTACAAGTCTTAATGACAGTGGTAGTGGAATTGAAAGTGAAAACAGTTCATCATCATCATTAATAATAACTTCTACACCTTCAAAGCCAACATTATCTTCTCGATCTGGATCTGGAATTCTTTGGCCACCACGTCTATGCCAAGAGCAAGATGAATCCCCACAATCAGCTCACCAGACACAAATCCCCATAGTTATGCCAAGTATACCAGTTTCACAACAAAAGAAGTTATCGTTGAGCTCATTAAGTGATTTTGAGGTAATTCGAGATTCAGAGCAAATTGAAGAAACAGAAGTTGAGATATCACCACTTGATATTGGTGCTGCACGGCGTAGGTTCATGAGTGGAGGGAAGGACCGTCCACGTGCTCCAGTTACTCCTCCAGCACAGAATTTGTTACCAGCAGCTACCTCTCCAGCATCAGGGACTTCACCATCAGGTTCTACCAGTAACTCTTTATTAGGAACCCAATCATCAATCATTGTAAAGTCTGGACCATCTGTCACTGAAGCTCGCAACACCCCACCATCTTTCACCATCACTGTACGTACACAAGCAGCACCTTCACCTAGTCGCTCTGATAACGTTCCAGCTGCTACTACTTCAGTCACCAGTTCTACCACAGACCTGAATTCCAGTACAACAAGCACCAATAGCACCACTAGTATAGGAAAGCCTGAGCAGGGAACAACACAACAAGCTACAGAAGACTGGAGGGTGTTAGTTAGGCAGCGACGGGAAGACAGACTTAAGCAAACGAAGACACCAGACTCTGAGGAAATAATAATTGAGGTAAGTTTTGTTTTTTATGAATGTATCTGACATACTTGCAACAATGCTTCACTATTTATAACTTTTGTTTAATTTTATTAATAGGAGAATATTAACAAATGAGAGAAAAATGAAGTAAGCCACAATTTGCCTGTTAATGTGAGAGTATGTTAAAAAAAAACTGAAGGTAATTGTTAGTAAAAGTAAGATAGTGTCTATGAGAAAAGTCTTTAGGAAATATAATTAGAGAGCTCAGTGATCTGCATTTAGGAAATAGAGGGATGGGAGAGTAGATACCAAAATATTAGAAACTGGTACTGTAGCAAGTCTGAGGAGAATTGTGATTTGTGTAAAGATTTTATAAATACACTACATAAAAAAAGTGGATAAATTAAGGAATGTTCTCAAACTCTACTGCCATTTTTCCTGGCCTTAGCAGCACTGTGGTCTCTTAATGACACATCATCTTACATAAGTCATATGCCTATTTCCATCTCTTTGTGAAATGGTTTGCTGACATTCCATCCCAAAAAATGCTGCACCCACATGACAACAGGAGGGTGCAACTCTTCTTCTTGTAACTTCACCCCAAAATGTGTCACTCATCAGTCCATGAAAGACAATGCTACAGCATAATACTGTCAGGCACACCATCTAAAGGGAAGAAGATACAGATCACCCAGATCATGGGAAACAAAAGAGGGGAGCCAAAACCTCTCCAGAGGAGGTTTTTTTAGTGCCAGGAAGCAAAAAAGACTGGCAAGAAATGACAGAAATCCTACACCAGCTGAAAACACTTCAGGAGTGGAGGGGCGGTCATTGGCCTCCACTCCAAAACGACAGATATCAATGCCAGCAAACAAAACCCCATTCAATTCCATCAATATAATGACATTTATCTTCGCAAACATACAGGGTCTAAAGCCATTAACAAATGACAAAATGCCTTACATCAAGGGACTGCTCAGAGTCAAATGCAATGTTTGCAGCTTTCACACAGACACATAAAGGATCATTTTGACAACAAAATATGGATCCCGGTTATAACCTATTTAGATGTGACAGACTAAACAGGCAACAAGAGGGGGTTGGCCTGTACGTCACAGTTGTTTCACTCATTCAAATTCAAATTCAAAGTTTATTCTCTATAAGGATTACAATGCTGAGTTTACAGAATTTGGTTATTGTGTGGTTTACATGTAGTAAAATAATAATTACAGAGTGTACCACTAGAACACCTAGCATGGCTAGGCATTTCGGGCAGACTTATATTAAATCTTAAGTTTAAAATATTACAAAATTATGAGGTAAGTTGGTATTATGGCTAAGTGACTAAATACTAGTTGTGAGTTTAGCAATGTGAATGCTTTTGTTTTGGCACTATACATAGTTTCAGTATTGGAGTATCACAGGCCAACTTATGACTAGTTAAGATTCATTATTTTGAGATTGAGATTGATATTTCTGTTTATGGTCAAATGGGTGAGTGAGTGTAAGTGTGAACCACCAGGTGGTATTCGTATTATTAGTTGACAGGGTGTATCAGGGAGATAAGATGTTTTCTGATTGTAGTTTTGAAGGTGATGAATGTGTCTGCAGTTTTGGAATTTTCAGGTAGGGTGTTCCAGATTTTAGGGCCTTTGACATACATTGAATTTTTGTAAAGGTTTAGTCGGACACAGGGAATGTCATAGAGATGTTTGTGTCTGGTGTTGTGCCTGTGGGTTCTGTCACAACTATCAAGAAAGTGTTTTAGGTCAAGGTTAATATTGGAATTTAAGGTCCTGTAGATGTAGATTGCACAGTAGTAAGTGTGGATGTACTGAACAGGGAGTAAGTTTAGATCTATGAAGAGTGGGGGGGTGTGTTGCCAGGGATGGGATTTAGTGATTATTCTTACTGCGGCTTTTTGTTGGGTTATTATTGGCTTTAGGTGTGTTGCTGCAGTTGAACCCCAAGCACAGATAGCATAGGTGAGGTATGGATATATAAGTGAATGGTATAGTGTGAGAAGGGCAGTTTGCGGCACGTAGTATCATATCTTGGAGAGGATCCCAACCGTTTTGGATACTTTTTTGGTTATGTGTTGGATATGGGTGCTGAAGTTCAGGTTGTTGTCGAGGTATAGGCCTAGGAATTTGCCCTCATTATGCCTGGCAATTAGAGTGTTGTCGATCTTAACCCTTTCAGGGTCCAAGGCCAAAATCTGAAGTCACGCACCAGTTTACCTGGAGTTTACCTGGAGAGAGTTCCGGGGGTCAACGCCCCCGCGGCCCGGTCTGAGACCAGGCCTCCTGGTGGATCAGAGCCTGATCAACCAGGCTGTTGCTGCTGGCTGCACGCAAACCAACATACGAGCCACAGCCCGGCTGATCCGGAACTGACTTTAGGTGCTTGTCCAGTGCCAGCTTGAAGACTGCCAGGGGTCTGTTGGTAATCCCCCTTATGTGTGCTGGGAGGCAGTTGAACAGTCTCGGGCCCCTGACACTTATTGTATGGTCTCTTAACGTGCTAGTGACACCCCTGCTTTTCATTGGGGGGATGGTGCATCGTCTGCCAAGTCTTTTGCTTTCGTAGTGGGTGATTTTCGTGTGCAAGTTCGGTACTAGTCCCTCTAGGATTTTCCAGGTGTATATAATCATGTATCTCTCCCTCCTGCGTTCCAGGGAATACAGGTTTAGGAACCTCAAGCGCTCCCAATAATTGAGGTGTTTTATCTCCGTTATCCGCGCCGTGAAAGTTCTCTGTACATTTTCTAGGTCGGCAATTTCACCTGCCTTGAAAGGTGCTGTTAGTGTGCAGCAATATTCCAGCCTAGATAGAACAAGTGACCTGAAGAGTGTCATCATGGGCTTGGCCTCCCTAGTTTTGAAGGTTCTCATTATCCATCCTGTCATTTTTCTAGCAGATGCGATTGATACAATGTTATGGTCCTTGAAGGTGAGATCCTCCGACATGATCACTCCCAGGTCTTTGACGTTGGTGTTTCGCTCTATTTTGTGGCCAGAATTTGTTTTGTACTCTGATGAAGATTTATTTCCTCATGTTTACCATATCTGAGTAATTGAAATTTCTCATCGTTGAACTTCATATTGTTTTCTGCAGCCCACTGAAAGATTTGGTTGATGTCTGCCTGGAGCTTTGCAGTGTCTGCAATGGAAGACACTGTCATGCAGATTCGGGTGTCATCTGCAAAGGAAGACACGGTGCTGTGGCTGACATCCTTGTCTATGTCGGATATAAGGATGAGGAACAAGATGGGAGCGAGTACTGTGCCTTGGGAACAGAGCTTTTCACCGTAGCTGCCTCGGACTTTACTCTGTTGACGACTACTCTCTGTGTTCTGTTTAGTGAGGAAATTATAGATCCATCGACCGACTTTTCCTGTTATTCCTTTAGCACGCATTTTGTGCGCTATTACGCCATGGTCACACTTGTCGAAGGCTTTTGCAAAGTCTGTATATATTACATCTGCATTCTTTTTGTCTTCTAGTGCATTTAGGACCTTGTCGTAGTGGTCCAATAGTTGAGACAGACAGGAGCGACCTGTTCTAAAACCCATGTTGCCCTGGGTTGTGTAACTGATGGGTTTCTAGATGCGTGGTGATCTTGCTTCTTTAGGACCCTTTCAAAGATTTTTATGATATGGGATGTTAGTGCTATTGGTCTGTAGTTCTTTGCTGTTGCTTTACTGCCCCCTTTGTGGAGTGGGCTATGTCTGTTGTTTTTAGTAACTGTGGGACGACCCCGTGTCCCATGCTCCCTCTCCATAGGATGGAAAAGGCTCGTGATAGGGGCTTCTTGCAGTTCTTGATGAACACAGAGTTCCATGAGTCTGGCCCTGGGGCAGAGTGCATGGCATGTCATTTATCGCCTGTTCGAAGTCATTTGGCGTCAGGATAACATCGGATAGGCTTGTGTTAATCAAATTTTGTGGCTCTCTCATAAAAAATTCATTTTGATCTTCGACTCTCAGTCTGGTTAGCGGCTTGCTAAAAACTGAGTCATATTGGACTTGAGTAGCTCACTCATTTCCTTGTTGTCATCTGTGTAGGACCCATCTTGTTTAAGTAGGGGCCCAATACTGGACGTTGTTCTCGATTTGATTTGGCATAGGAGAAGAAATACTTTGGGTTTCTTTCGATTTCATTTATGGCTTTTAGTTCTTCCCGCGATTCCTGACTCCTAAAGGATTCTTTTAGCTTAAGTTCGATGCTTGCTATTTCTCTGACCAGTGTCTCCCTACGCATTTCAGATATATTGACCTCTTTTAGCCGCTCTGTTATTCTTTTCCGTCGCCTGTAAAGGGAGCGCCTGTCTCTTTCTGTTTTACATCTACTCCTCCTTTTTCTTAGAGGAATAAGCCTTGTGCATACATCGAGTGCTACCGAGTTAATCTGTTCTAGGCATAAGTTGGGGTCTGTGTTGCTTAGTATATCTTCCCAGCTTATATCGGTTAGGACTTGGTTTACTTGGTCCCACTTTATGTTTTTGTTATTGAAGTTGAATTTGGTGAATGCTCCCTCGTGACTAATCTCCTTATGTCGGTCTGGGGCTCCGCGCATACATGACTGAATCCTCAATTATGTTGATCTTGATATGGATTTTTTGATTTGGTGATATTTCTTATCATCACATGTATAGTGAGATGAGGTCTAGTGATTTTCCAGCTATAGTTATATTCTCTGTTAAATTGAATTTGTGCGAATTTTAAAGCCTTCGAAATGGTTGTATCATCAGAGCTGCCTCTGGTGTTATTACTGCAACAATGATCTTTTGCTAATTCCTCATTTTAGGTGCTTAAGTTGAAAATCCCCCAGGAGCAAATCTGGGTGCAGGTCTGGAGATTTCCCGAACTGGTCAATTTTTAACAGCTGTTCCTGGATTGCTGGGATGTTGCATCGATGAGGTACATCACAATGACAGTTTTGGTTCTCGGACCTTTATGCTAACTTCCACTACTCATTTGAGATTAGCAGTTTGTGCAAACAAGTGACTCTGCAAGTACAGGCAACCCCCCC